ATGGTGCGCACAAACGTCCGACCATAGTGCGTGGGCGTCTTTGTGGTTCCTCACCCGATTGAACACATCTTTACAAAGGCCTCTAAATATGATATTTCTAGCCTTTGCATTCCATTTTTCGTAATTCAACTCATCGCCTTGTGGGTGTGCGGCATCCTGAGGTTTTGGAAAGCCTTGTGAGGCGGCTCTAAGTATTCCAACATCTAGAACTTCTAGATACGCCTCCATGCGGATTTTCCAATATGGAAAATCATCCCCCTCAAAGATAGGAGGAGGTCCATCCCCGTGAGACATCTTTCACTAGGCGATACCAATTGAAAGGATCAAGATGCCCAAGAAGGAGGGGGGTGAATTGGGCTAATTCTAAATTTCTTTGCAATAATTAAACTCTAAGGTTATCCCAATTAACCCCTTGTGCCTAGAAAGTGTTTCTATTGATCTAACGCACAAAAGTTTAGCACCATAAGTTCCAATCCTACTCTAGCATGAAAATTCTAGGAATGTAAATGACAAGAATTGAATTGCTAAAAGTAAAGAGAGAAGGAGGAACGTGGCGATGTTTTGCTGAGGTATTGGAGAGTCGCCACTTCCCACTAGTCCTCGTTGGAGCACCCGCGCAAGGGTGTAGCTCCCCCTTGATCCGCGCAAGAATTAAGTGCTCTCTACGGGTTGATTCTTTGACTCTCCGTCACGGTGAATCACCCACAACCGCTCACAACTTGAGTTGGGTCATCCACAAGCTCTCCGGATGATCACCAAGCTCTCAATCACCACCAAGCCGTCTAGGTGATGGTGATCACCAAGAGTAACAAGCATGGACTCTCACTTGACCACGACATTCCTAATAAGAAGGGTGGATGCACACTTTGCTACTCTTGATCTCACTAATGAGGGCTCTCTTTGGGATTCTCAAATCTCAATCACCTCACTAGGACCTTGCTCGTCTTGGTACTCTCTAAGGTGTTTCTTAGCTGTTGGAATGAGCAAAAGTACCCCCACACACGAGTGGAGGTGGTATTTATAACACCGGCTGAAAAACGAACCGTTATGTGCCTCTGCGGGGTGACCGGACGCTCCGGTCAGTTTACCCCGAACTCCAGTGTTTAAAGTGTGACCGGACGCATCCGGTCGTGATTTTCCCTCTCTAGAACCTTACTGGAGTCGACCGGACGCTGCCCCTCAGCGTCCGGTCACTTCACCTCTTAGCGTCCGGTTGCGCCAGACAAAATCACCTTGGTCAAATGAACTGATCGGACCCTGAGCCAGCGTCCGGTCAGTATTTGACCCTACATTCACTTCCAACTCTCGATCATACGTGAATAAAGTTTGCTCCATTGGATCTAAGGGCTATTTTGGAGCTACCTAGTGCTAGTTTTAACAAGTGTGCACCACACCTAACTCACTAGACTCACCTAGGTCAAGCTACCCGTCTATACCCCCCTTAATAGTACGGCCAAAGGAAAAACAAAGTCCTAAACTACTCTAGGTGTCACTTCAACTCCAAACGACACTTAGAACTAGTCCATCCTTAACCTTGTCGTCCATCCTTTGAAAACTGAAACAATTTTCATCGTAGGGGCATGACCACCATGGTTGCCCAATCGATCTCCATTATCGTGACCTAACTTAATTGCCTCTACAAAACACACGTTAGTCACAATAATCACGTATTGTCATTAATCACCGAAACCCAACTAGTGGCCTAGATGCTTTCAGTCATGTCATGCCACTAACTTCCAACCTTTTAATGAAAGCTTTCCACGTCATCTCAAGTTCTATCTCACCATGCAAGACATCCAGATCATCTTCCACTAATAACCATGTCATGCCACTAACTTCCAACCTCTTAATGCAAGCTATCCACATCATCTCAAGTTATATCTTAACATGCAAGACATCCACATCATCTTCCACTAATAGCCATGTCATGCCACTAACTTTCAACCTCTTAATGCAAGCTATTCACGTCATCTCAAGTTCTATCACAACATGCAAGACATCCACATCATGTTCCACTAACTATCCACATCATCTTTCACTAATAAACTTGTCTGCCACTAACTTTCAACCTCTTAATGCACAAGCTATCCATGTCATCTCTACTTAATTTCATTTTTAATTTTTCACAATCACCGCAACAACGAGCAGAGTATCTTATAGTATTTACATAATGGCAACCCAATATACATTGCCAGTTTGCCTGTTTAGTCCCTCCAAGGTGCCCCCTCTCCCCCTCAAGCAACCATCTGAACATGGAAACAAACAAGAAGGAAACTGGTTATTTTTGTCAAATTCATAACCTAAATAGGCTCGGTTATTTGTCTATGATATTGTCCAAGACTAAGTGGGAGTCACACAAGGCACCCGCTCGCCAGCTGACACCACTACCCCACAAATAGCAATTACAGTCGGTTCCAAACCGGCCTTCACTGCTGGATTTCAATCTAGCAGTGGGCAAGTAGGAGTGATGACTCCGATGTTTTGCTGCCGGCTGCTGACTCAATAGTGATGCCCATTTTCCAAAAAAGAAAAAAGCAGAAAATGACGAGCCTCCCGCGTTATTGGACCTTGAGCAGCTGGCCTTGAGCCTTGAGCACCACTTGACCTTCTAGACCAACCTCGAGTAGATGGCCATGTGTCTTGAGCAGCACTGGACCTCTAGCCAGGGCTCAAGCGTTGATGAACCTTGAGCCACAAGGCCCGTGTGCCATCGGGCAACTAGCCATCGGTCCTGAGCCCTATGTGCCGCCAGACCTCGCTTCAGCCACTAGCCTCGCTCCGTAGGGCCTTGAGTCGCGAAGACATGTCGTGCTAGAGCCATTGGCATAAGACCACGCCACGCAGTCGTGCCCTGCCTTGCTACCCACCTTCGTGTCGCTGAGCCCTTGGTCACTACTACAAAACTGATTTTCAGCAATGGAAGGCTTTTCTATAGAGGCAACTCAATTTCTGGCTGCCTCTATAGTGGCCTCCAAATCAAGCTGCCTCCAAAAATGCATTTGTAGAGGCGGCTGCTATTTTCAGTTGTCTCTACAAATGTCTCTATTTTTAGAGGCAGCTCTATTTCCATCCACCTATAGAAATCTATTTCTCGAGGCGGCTCTAATTATAGCCACTTCTAGAAATCATTTTCTAGAGACCTCTGGAAATAGAGCCACCTCTAAATATAGGAGCTGCATAGTAAAATTTAAACTTGTAAGCGATCTCGGAGGGAGAAATGATCAAAACAAAAGTTGTAGATGTTATGTAACTTTGTAGTTGACAACTTTTTCATTTTTAATCATCTATGCAGAGAAAATTACATTTCAATTTCTCATATCTGAAATCAAAATTTTCAAATGACTTCAGATAGAGAAACAACCAAAACCAAAGGTATAGATAACGAAAAGGTATAAAACTTTGCGGTTGACAACCTTTTCATTTGAATTCATTTATGGTCCCAAATACTCATTTTAAAATCGGATGAAAATAAAATGAGGAGGACGAATATCCCAAATGGACACAGGTGTCCTATGGGTGGAGTGGTTAGGGGAGGAATGCGCGAGGGCTGAGGTTATAGGTTTGAGCCCCCGTGGTTGCGAAGCATGCATTTTTTGTGCGAAAAATCATGTGACTTGTGACTTTGTAAGAACCTTATTTATGTATTATGACGTTGTTTGACTTTGTAATCAACTAAATATTATATGTCTGTTATAATTGAGATATTGTGCGACTATCGCACAAAGGGCACAAGAGTACAAATAGGAAATTCTAGTCCGTTTCAGTCCCCATAGAGTAACCATGGATTTGTGAGTAGAGGCGGCTGGGTCTTTATAGAGGCATCTCAACCGCTTCTGTATTAGTGGGTCTCTATAGAGGCATCTCAACAGCTTCTGTAGTAGTGGGTGCGCCGTCGGCCTCGATCTGGACTTTAGCCGAGGAGTCTGGCGAGTGGAGGTGAGGAGGAGATATGGCGAGGAAAGCAGTGGGAGATTTGAGGAGGGCGGAGGGGAAGAGATTCTATGAGTTGGGAGAGAGGAGAGAGAGAGCGCGCGCGCGCACAACTGTACAGACTTGCGGGAGTTAATCCAATTAAAGAGAAAAATCCAGGTCTGATATGGTAAAATCACTGTCGTTTGCCGGTAATATGCTGTCGGAATGTGCTGTCGGGCTATATTACCAACAGGCAGTTGCTTTCGAACTGATACCCTTGTCATTGTCAGTTTAAAAGTATCTAGCAGCGTTGGTTTGTATGTAGCAGTGCCGTATGGACAAAAAAACACTATGCTGAGTAGTTCCAAAATGTTGCCTATGAGTATCAGAACAATTATGGATTCCGTGCCGGCATGAGAGTATACATATTCTTGGGAATTTGAATGCGTCATGCATGTGTCCAAAGTAGGAGGAAACGGTCTCCGTGATACATATTGCCACACACTTTACGTTTCTACGAAACCAATAATCAATCTGCCGGCTACAGGTTCTTGAAATTTTTGAACCAATAATCAATCTGCTGGCTACAGGTTCTTGAACTTTACACCCAACTTGCCGGCCCGCAGTAGGGCAAACTTTACTAAATAGAAGCTGTACATGTGAGAAAGATATCTTTCAATTTCCAAAAGGTTGCTGTCTGCGGGTTCCATGCGTCTATAAGAATTGAAGTCTGATCTCATGGGTGTGTGGCTAATTGGATGAACGAGATGATGTACTAGAGCCAGCCGCAGAGATTTGCATCAAAGTCCCACTCCCACTGCACCACCACCACTCGCCGGTGATTTGCCAAGAAAACAGAGCTAGCAAATTAATTCTATAAAGCCAGGAACTTTTCTTTCTGCTGCTTCATATGAGTTAGAACCATTTTAGGACATGCTACTGGTTTTAGATATAAGAATGAGAAACAGAATTTCTGCTGTAGACTACAGACAGTTTACATTGGTGTGATATTCCACAATTTCAATCACTGAACAGATTTTTTTAGACAGGAATGCTAAATTCTCTACACCATTATAGTACATTGCCTCTCAGTCTCTCACCTTGGACCTGACACTTCTGAGGCTAGAGGTGGACCTGACAAGCCCGCAATTCCAGGAGCACCAAAGCTTGCTGAATTCGTTACGACAAAGTTGTGATCTATATATGTCAGTTTTGGCACTCATGGTGCTTTCCAAGACTTTTACGACCTCAGACATTTTAGGCCTTCGTTTGCAATCAATCTGCAAGCACCACATTGCGAGCTTCATCATCTGAATTTCTTCTTGCTTGTGTGCCTGACTGTCACTACTACTGCGCATATCAATCAAATCTACCAACCGATCACTCTTCAACTTCTCTTCCAGTAAGGTAATAAGATGAAAGCTCTTTTCAGACCGAGAAGTGTCCAGGTTCTTCCTTCCACTGATGATCTCCATCACCACCACACCAAAGCTATATACATCAGCCTTTTCTGTGATGTGCGACGTCAACCATTCGGGAGCTAAATATCCAGGCGTGCCTCTCATTCTAGTAACCACTTGGCTCTTATCCCGGTCGATGAGCTTGCACAGTCCAAAATCAGAGAGTTTAGCATCGAAGTTGTCGTCTAAGAGGATGTTCTGTGGTTTCACATCCAAGTGAGCAACTCTCTTCATGCACTCCTCGTGAAGATAAGACAGGCCCTTAGCTTCATGAGCAATAATCTTGCATCGCGTTTGCCAATCCAGGCAAGGAGTGTCGTCGTCGTCATTGCCGTGCCGGCGAAAGATCCACTGGTCCAAGGATCCTTTGGGCATGTACTCATAAACCAAGAGCCTATGCGATTTCTCTTCACAGAAACCGATTACCCTCACCAGATTGATATGGTGAATGCTACCGATGGTCTGATGGTCTGAACCTCTGCCAAGAATTACCGCTCCTGTTGCATGCCAGCACGCCGCCGCAGTCACCCGTCTGGCAGGACTTGTTGCCGGCGGGGCCGTCGAATGAACAACCGGTGCGCGCCCACACGCGGCCGCCTTGGGTGTTGTTGGGCACTTGGAGCACCCAGGTGTTGCCTGGGTCCAGCCGCATGCCGCCGCCCACACGGTGTAGGAGCATCGGTTGGTGATGTTGATGGTGGTGGTATGGCTGCTGCTGGTGGCGACGGCGAGGACAGGGAAGAAGAAGAACAGTAGCAGGAGGTGGTGAGTCCAAGTGCTACTCCCGGCTCCCATTATTGGTGTGTCTGTGTGATGGTGCCATTCTTCAGATCCAACCTTTCGGAACTGCAATCATAGAGCTCTTTTGGCACATGCACGCGTTTTCAACCGGTTAACGGTCGACCGTCCACACGTAACATGGTGGCAACTTTATTGGACTTGGAAGTGGCTATTGCGTGTTGATCATCTCAACGGCCCACTGACCACTGCAGTACTGGTGCACACAAGGTTCTTTCACGGAGAGATATCTGTCCATCTGTGTGGCTTTCTTGACTCTGGAGAAAATATATCAACAAAAATTGTTTCAATTTCTTTTGTAAACTGTTTTCTTGTTGTGCGTTGATATTAGAATCATATTAGGAGTTTAGGACGCACTTGAAAAAAGAAAAGAAAAATCATAGTAATAATTATCAAAAAAATTCTAACATTTAGTTTGGTAGACTCTATTCACCATTTACAATATTAAGCATTGCATCTATTTTGTTTCTAAAAATTACCCACTTATGCCTAAAAAATAATTTAATGTAATCCCTAAATTTATATATAAATTTCACACCTACGCTGCTATATACATTAATATAAAATAAGCCTCTAAATTTATATCTAAATTACCCACTATACCATTATGAAATATAAGGAACCCCTTAGATTTTTCTATAAATTACCAATTAAAACAACATAAACTAACTCACATCATATTGGCATCTTTAGATTACATTAAAAATATACAACTTTGTGGTTGAGAAAATTTTAATTTGAAACTATTTAGTGTCCTCAAAATATCATTTTAATTTTATTAAAATTTAAAATTCAAAATTTTCAAACAACCTTGTAGTTCTCAATACAATCTACAATTTTGTAGTTGAAAAGTTTTTTGTTTCAATTTAGAGTCCTGAATATGTGCTTTAAGTTTTTAGCCTTTGAATTTTAAAATTCAGAATTTTCAAACAACCTTGAATGTTCACATAGTCAATACCAAAGTTGCAGTGGCTGACCTAATCTACAAGTTTGTTCTTGATAAGTTTTTTTATTTAAAGTTATTTAGAGTCTCAAATATTTGTTTTAAATTCACATATTTTTAGATTCTTTTTATTTTTATTTTTTTCAAACAATCTCGGATAGAGGCATATCCTATACAAAGTTGTAGTGCTCGACAAGATTCAAAATTTTATAGTTGATTTTTTTTATTTGAGTTTATTTAGTAGCCAAAATAAAGAACCACCTAATTTTTTGTTTTTTTATTTTCTAAAAATCATTAATAGAGACAGGCATCTTAACACGTCCGCTCTGTTACTCAATTTATAGAGACAAGCATGCCAACTGTCTCCGTAAATAGTCGTTAACAGAGACCATTTGTTAGAGGCGGATGGCTTGTCGGTCCCTAAAAATGTAGAACGCCCCTCTCTGAAAATTACCATGACTAACTGCATTTAGGATTCTAGAAAAGCAAACCAATAAATTGAAGCAGAGAAGAGGTACAACTTGTGGACACTCACTATTGGTTGCACGCTGTGAAAGCTCTTGATGATGGCCAACACCTGCCAGGGTATAAACTTCAATTTTGGCTGTGTTTGTGTTATGCTTGTCCATGAAAAGTTGTTCTGTTATGTTTTTGGCCAAGAAAAATTATTGGATAATCTTGTTTTTTTTTCACGAATGTGCCTGAGCACGTGTTTCATTAACACGAAGAGAAGTTTACAGCGACCTGGCTAACCATCCTGGAGCAGGTGCGAAGTTAGAAGACTATTACATAACATGTTGTAACAGCGACCAAACGACCTACGACACCAAAAAAAGATAACTACTGACAGCAATAAACACGACCTATGACCAAACCATCGCAAGGCAAACAATACCTACAGCCGAACCCAACAACAACACAAGCGACCTCAGGCGACACCGTGGAGTTTAAGGCGCCGGAAACAAAGGTAGTGGCTGTCGAACACTGTGCAGTGTAGTGACCAACGGGCACCTCCTCAATAGGGCATGAAACACTGATGCCACGTCTAAGAAAGCAATCAAATCTTGGCAGAGTTGAACTTCGGCGACCGAAAGTGTCATGACCCGATCATGACATGTTAATCATACGCATCATGATCATCATATGCATTTTAATCTCAACTTAAAAATCAACTTGAGCAAAAACTGAACTAAGTCTGCACACTGGTAGTCCTGACGGAGAGTCCACCCAGTCCAGCGGTGAGTCCATCGAGCCACAGCACAGCCTGACAGTTCAGTCTCTATCAGTAAAAGTAGACACCCAGCGGAGAGTCCGCCAGTCCATCCCATGCAGAGTTTGTGAGGTGTCGCTGAAGGGTCGGGACGACAGAGCAGCATATGAATAGTCATTTCTAAAATTAATCGTATCGGCTAATCGAAATAAATACGGAATTAAAATTATCGGCCTAACCAAGACTACACCCCTCTGTATAAGTTCTCAAGCACCTTATAAAAAATTCTAATTAAGCAACTAAGGTACCAAGCTAGCTAGAATTAATCTAACCAATTCTATAAGCAAAGTCACACAAACCCATACAACTAGTACTTCAAGCACCAGGAGAGCTACACAAACTAGTATGTAAAAGCACAAAGCTCCTAAGCTCAGTTGCAATGCTCAATAACAAGGCTACATAAGCTAAATTAGAGAGCTCAAATTACTTAGCTACACAAACTAAGCAATGCGACTAACAAGGCTACTCAAGCCAATTAGTCATGCAAGGGATCTACTTCTATGCTACACAAGCAAGTAGGTAACCAGCAAGCTACACAAGCTAATTAATTACAAGAGCAACCATACAAGCACAAAATATATGAAAGTAAATACAAGCTTGTGTATGGGAATACAAACCAACGGGAAGAATAAGGATGACGCGGTGATTTTTCTTCCAAAGTTCACGTGTTTGCCAACACGCTAGTTCCCACTGTGTCGACCGCTCACTTGGTGGTTCGGCGAGCTAAAGGCGTTTCACAAGCCTAGCCCACATGTTGGGCGCCGCAAGAATCTACCCACAAGTGAGGGTAATTTAATGACACGCTCATCTAGAGTTGCTCTTCGCGATCCCTGCGGGACGAGCACAATACCCCTCACAATCCTTCTCTGGAGCACCGCACAATCTTCTTGCGTGTTTCGACGGAGCCACAAGACTCCAAGCCATCTAGGAGGTGGCAACCTCCAAGAGTAACAAGCACCACCGGCTTGCAACACAACCACCTAGTGCCACTCGATGCAATGTCACAAAGCAACGCACTAAAGATCACTCACTCGTAATCGATTCGCACTCTTGCAAGCACAAGTGAGTTAGAGGGCTCCCAAGCATACCTACACAAGCCACCAAAGTTCAAGGGTGCTCAACAACCATCCCAAGGCCGTACAATGCTTGGTTATATAGCCCCAAAAGAATAGACCCATTATACCCCTTCATTGGGTTGACTGCGTGTCGACCAGACATGCCAACAGTAACGACCGGACGCGTCCGGTCGCTGGCTGGGTGCCACGTGTCCCCTCCGTTTGAAGCCGACTGTTGCTCCCCAACGGCTACTTCAACACGCGCGCTCACAATAGCTAGACCAGACGCGCCAGGCCAACTGACAGGACGCGCAAAACCTCAGCGTTCGGTCCATTCCAAAGAGCTCCAAGAGTCGGCAATTCTTGACCGGGCACGTCCGGTCGCCTTGACCGGACTCTCACCAGCGTCAGGTCACCACTGAGCCGTGAAGCCCGCCAGCGACACGAGCATGTCCGGTCGCACCCTGTGCCAGCGTCCGACCACAGCCACGCCCGCTCACCCGAGGTGCCACGTGACTGACCGGACTTGTGAGCCAGCGTCCGGTCGCTGCGTGGCTAGAATCCGGTCATGTCTTTGTCAACTGACCGAACTCGCTGGCAAGAGTCCGGTCGCTACAACAGTAGCGTCCGGTCAACCTGCATTGCTGCCCCCGCGCCTAGGGCTTGCTACCGGACGCGTCCGGTTGCTCCGAAGACATCGTCAGATCACTGCAGTGACCCTATTCCTTCTCCTTTTCACCTCTAGTTTCTTCTCCTTTGCGAGTGTGCCAACACCACCAAGTGATCCACCACCTTGTGCATGTGTGTTAGAATTTTCTAAATATCTTTCCACGCCACTCGATCCTAGCATATCGTAATGTTAGATCACTCAAGTGGCACTAGATGACCGATATGCAAACAAGTTTGCCCCTACTGATACTACGACCATATATCCTAAATCCGGTCATAAACTTCTCTACACACCTATGACCTGGAGAGCAGGCGTCTCCTTCCTCACCTTCCATGAGCGTGGGCTCAGGTACCCCACGCATTGGTTTCTGTGCCGTCTCCTTAACGAGTAGGGCTTGGAGTTGCAGCACCTCAACCCAACTGGGGTGCTGGACATAGCCGGCTTCGTCACCATCTGTGAGGCCATCCTTGTGATGGAGCCGCATGTGGATCTATTCCGGTGAGTCTTCATCGGGCGAGCCCTATCCGAGGGGAAACCACCTAGAACCGCACCGGTTGGGGGGTTTGCCCTGCAGAAGAGGCCGAAGCCATCGGTCCCATACCCCGCGTACTCCCCAAGTGACTCCAACCGGGGGTGGCATGGTGAGTGGTTCTATATCAGGAACCCGGTGGAGGCGCCGTTCCTGACGTTTCCCTGGGGGACGTCGGAGAAGAGGGAAAGTTGGACGTGGGGTCCTTCCCGTCAACAGAAAAAGCTGGCGATCATCGAGCCAGAACTTCGAAAGCTCGTGCGGAATGGCCTCAATGGGTTGTGGGTCTTCCACACCTTCTTCCGCCGTCGGGTTGCCCCGCTGGCGGAAAAGACGTGGCTGATGTGGGAATAGTCCAGCCCAACAGATCTCGATCGTGCATCACTGGAGGAGTTGTCGAAAGATGAAGTCTGGAGTTATCTTGGTCGGGCACTACAGTTGAGGGATGAAGACTCCCTCGAAGGGACGCCCAGACCCCTTCATGCCGCGAAATTATCTTGGTCTAGAGTTTTGATTGATTTCGAGTTGCC